TTCAACATTTTTTAATTCCTACTTTTTATTTCTATTGTATTTTTCTTTTGTAAATTTTTAATTAAAACTATGTTACTTTGGTCATACGTATAGCAATTTATATATTACTTTTTATTTATTCAGGAGTTGTATTGCATTTATTATTTATTTTTTTTTAATTGTATATTTATTTATTTCATTTTTTCAGGCAGTTGGTTTTATTATGAATCGATCAAACTAAGGCGAATTCATATAAGGTGGTGTTACCAGAGCAGCTCATTTCAAGGCGAATTGTGGATCAAACGTGCATATTCTTTTATATTTCCAATAGTTTTGATTAGTTTTGATATGAATTTTCGCACTATTCTCTAGATTGTTTTTGAAGCTCTGATTGTTTAATTTTTTATTTATTTTATAATTCTTTTAATTTATATATCATTAGTGCTGGTTAATAAAATTAGCGATTGTGTTCATACTCTCATCGCTGGAGCTAGCTAATTTTTAGTTGCTTCGTTTTTGTAAACCCATAAACCTGTTTCAATATTGGGAATATTGAAAGCATCCAATCTGTAGCTATGAACATATAATTATATACAAATATATATCGCTAAGTACTGCACAAGTTTTGAATTTTTCAACAAATATTTCGAAAAAAATTTTATTTGCAAAACATTTATAAAAAAAAATTTTTTCTCCACCATTTGAAACATACGCGATTTTTATGCCTTACTAAAATAAAGAAAATTTTTTTTTTCAAAATCTTTATTTGATAAATATTTGTGACACATTACCAGTTAATACATAACTTATAAAATCTTAGCTATTATTGAAACCATAAATATATGCTTAAATATTAATAGCCATTAAGGGTAATCCCAAATTATTAAAAACTATAAAATACACAAAGATACATTAAAAGCTATAAATGCAGTTGAATAGAGTATTTTTTGGGTGGGATCCCAATTTAAAAAAAAAAGACTTAGGTTTAGAAAAGAATCACCTCAAATTAGGCTTTGTAAAAAATTCTTAAATTCTTAATTCAAAATTTAAAAAAGTAGTCAGATCCTCATATGGTTAACTTAATATAGAGCGGCCCTATCTAACGATTTTGTTTCTTTACAGAGTAGTTATAAAACTTTATACAAGCTAAAGTTCTTCAGGTGCATTTTTCTGTTTTTAAATATCGATAAACACACATTTTTTGATGCAGTAGTTTATTTTAAATCCGATTTAGTCTTTAGAGAGTAATCTAGCGATTTTTGTGCAGAGCTGAATTTCAAACGAAAATGAATTATGGCCTTGCTTCATTAAGGTAACGATATGTAGATTCTTTAGTCTATATTTGGAAGCACTTCGGGGTAGTATAAAGTAGGGTTGTTGCAAAAGCAGCAACAAAAAGTTGTATAAAGCAAGTAAAGTAGGAACGATGCACCATTTGTATGTAATTCTCGAAATTTCATGATTGCAAGCGAAACCAAGATTTGTAATTTAAATGGAAATTAAGGCAGGCGATTAAAAAAATATCATTTAGTTTCGTGTTAAGTAACTATTATCAGTCATGTTAAGAAATAAAACCGGTGTCTACTGTTTTTTATTCATAACTTCTGCTATAGCGCATGCCAAAGTATCCACCGCAAATTTAACATCCTTTTTCGAAATGCACATTGGTGGCTTAATACGGAACACCTGAAAGAAAGAGTGAGAGCGGGGGAAAGAAAAAGTTGTGATGGGATAGAAAAAGGAGTGTGGTTAGTATGGACGATAATGTCTGTTACAATTGTGCTAATTCCAATTTCTTAAAAAAAAAAAACTTATAGCAAGCTAACATCAAAAATGCCCCTAGCTTAAGCTTTTGTAACCTATAATCTATACTCACATTGCCATTTAAACCGCCACGTCCGAAGAGCACACCCATATCCTTGCAGGTCTCCCAAATTTCCATTACATGTGGCGCGCTAAGTGGCGTCTTTGTTGCGCGATCTGATACCAATTCCACGCCAATCATTAAGCCCTTACCGCGCACGTCACCTATAATCTCGTAGCGTTCACGCAACTCCGACAAACTCTGCAGGAAGTAAGTGCCCACTTCCAAAGAATTCTTCTGTAGTTTTTCTTCTTCAATAACGTCCAACACCGAGATACCCACAGCGCTGGCCATTGGATTACCGCCATAGGTGTTGAAATGCAATGCCTGGCCCAGTGAGGCAGCTATCTTGGGCGTAGTTACCACAGCTGCCAGCGGAAAGCCGTTACCGATGCCTATGTTTTAAGTTTTTTTTTCATTTAAGTTCACTTGCGATAAGCTATGCAATAATGTATTCTTGACTCACCCTTTGCCATTGTTACGATATCCGGTATGAATTCGTGTCCCTCAAATCCCCAGAAATACTCGCCGGTGCGGCCAAAACCAGTTTGCACCTCGTCGGCAACGAATAACCCGCCATTTGCGCGCACCAAATCAGCTGCTTTCTTTATGTATCCCTTCGGATATTGTACGGTGCCACCAACACCCTGTATGGACTCCGCAAACATGGCGGCCACACGTCCGCGTGGCAGAGAGTATTTGAAAACTTCCTCCAGCTGTTCATAATACCGCGCACCAGCCAAGCAGCCAGTCTCCTGCGTGCAGTCGCACTTCCGATCCGTTTGTATGGGCGAATCACGACATGCCGCGCCACCCCAAATGCCTGTGTAGGGGTCAGGATTCATAACGTGGTGTATGCCATTGCTGGTGCCGGGCAGCGGAAAACGCCAGGTTGAGAGCGCGGTAAGACCCATGGTATAGGGTGACATGCCATGGTAGGCATTACGGAATGTAATAATATCCTGGTTGCCTGTGTGCGTGCGCGCCATCAGCATAGCAAGATCATTGGCTTCTGAGCCCGAGTTAACAAAGCATACGGCCTTCAGTTCGCCGGGAAATTTGGCTGTCAAGCGTTCGGCGTATTCGTGAATTTTTGGGTGTAGGTAAATGTTTGTCGTGTGCCATAGTGTGTTGATCTGTTCCTCAAGCGCACGGTTCACTTTGCTGTTTGGGTAAAGTAAGAACTACAAAAGAAAATAATTAAGTTTTACAGCTTTGACTTACGGATGACAATGTCCCACGGAAACTGTAACAATACCGCCAAACATATCCAGATAGCGGCGACCTTCATGATCGAACAGCCATTGCATGTGCCCGTTGTGTATGAGGAGAGGCTTCTTGAAATGCGGCACAATGTTTGGTGTTATATGTTTTTGCCGTATCTCCATGACTTTTTCATAACTTGGACCCGTGTAAGTTGGTGGTTGGTAGTCGGAATCGGGCATTTCGCTTTGTATGTCTGGCATCACAGCCGGTGAGGCTTTCGAATGCAGTGTTGAGCTGGCCCGTTGTTGGAGGCCTGGACGCAGCAAACGTGCCATTAGGACTGCAAAAAAAAGGAATGGTATTGAGGTTAAATAGTGCGTTTCTGGAATAATAAAATGTGATAAACTGAGACAATCGCCTACCGGTCTGGCACATTTGGCTAAGTGTTTTCGAGCATTATGATGGAGACTGCGTTTTTATGACCGTTTTAAATCTTTTATGATCCAAAAAAATTAAATCAGAAACAAACGGTGATAATATGACCGAAAAACTAAAAATTGAAAATAACGATCAAAAATTGTGTGAAAAAATAAAAATTCAAAATAACGATTATTCTTGATCGAAAATATAAAAATCATAAAAAACAGTTATTCTTGATCGAAAATATAAAAATCATAAAATAACAGTTAAATTGGATCGGAAAATTCAAAATCTAATTTTAACGGTTAATTTATGTAAATTTATTATAAAGATCATGCGTCCACTTCTTCCGGAGCAAAAGTCCAGTTTTTAAAAGTGCGAATCTTTACAGAACGCGACACCATTAGTCGAGTATCAAGCAAGAGTTGAAAAAGGTGCGGTCCACCCTAAGTATCGCAAGGTTTAACAGTTGGCTGGAAAGATGATGGCTATTATTTTTTTCGAATTAAGAAAAAGGCATCGAAGATACGACTAAAATAATTTCCTTTTTAATTTCACACCATTCCTTCGTAATTTCACAAGTTTTCGGACATTTTTTCCAACAAGAAGCCGCAACAAGAAGCACAGTTATTAAAAACCAACGCTGCTTCAAACATGCACTTTGTTATATTAAAATTTCACAACAAATCGGATTGAGAAGTTCGAAATTTTAATGAAAATATTGAATTTTTCTAAATTTTGCAAAAAGTTTGAAAGTTTGATGCATAGGACATGTGTATGGTTTGGATTATAGCATGAACAGAATTTTATAAAAAATTTTAACTTGAAAAACATTGTGAATATTTAAATAAAGCCATCGCGTGAATAAACGTTTGAGTCACAGTATATACATATGTACTATGTATGAACATATATATATACATATGAACTATGTATGTATATTCAGGATTTAATCGGCAAAGAATCGGCCGATGTTTCGGCGAATAAAATTCATTTCAAGAACAAATGCTTTTATAAACTTTTATAATAACAGAAGAAAAACATAATCAAATAACTAAATAACATAACCTCATTCAATAATCGGCCAAAAACGGTCCATGCCGATTCTTTTGGCCTATACTAGCCCCGGCATCGGCCGATTAATCGGTCGAACTCTACTGGTAAGTGCTTTTCGGAATTCACCACATACCTTCTAGTTTACAAAACACATTACTTTAACTTGAGCATGTCATTAGAGGTAAGCGAGAAATTGTAAAAATGCTTTCCCACTACATTACGTGTAAAAGTTTTTGCTGGGTGGTTGTGTAATTCAAATCTTGACCTAGCCCGCTCAAACAATTTAAATTTCTCTTGCGAACATGTACAACTAATAAATGTGAATTGAGGTAGTCACGTGCCACCTGAGCTTTTTTATAAGCATTTTATGTAACTAAATATATGTGTGTACATAAACGTATGTCTGTTTGTTTGTATTGTTTACAATTTCTATTCTTTTAGCGTTACCGATTTGCATCAACGCCTACGAGGCTGATTGTATTATTTTACTTTACATACAGTGGAAAAACTTGACATTACACTTTCACATAGGGTGCATCACTCTCCATAAAAAAAAAATTGTTACTATTTTTCCATCAGATTTATAAAATTTATTATATTTTAAGATTTTCACCAAAATATTGCGGAAAAATATTAGGATTTATTTACGTAACCTGGACCAATTGGAAAATACCCCGAAAAATCTCATTATTTGAATTCCGTTGATAAAATGTGCAAATATATTTATGGAGACGTTTGGAAAAAAATATTTTTAAAACACTAATTTTATTTATAAAAAAAATAGATTTTTGGAGTGAGGCGCCCTAATTTACATACAGACATATTTAGCTGCATAAATGTATTGAAATATTTATTTACATGCTCGCATTGCATTCATTGTAAAACGTGTAGCAAATTAATCCTCTATCACCAGGGCCGGCTTAAGGGCGAAGCGAGCGGGCGGTCCTCCTTGGCGCCGAATTCGGGGGGCGCAAAATTTTTAAGTGGCGTTTAATTTTTTTATTGCATAAAATTTGCAAATGCGAAAATCTGCAATTAATAGATATCTTATCATTCTGCTAAGACCTACTCGGCTTAAATATACATCTATTCAGTAAATCAAATTCAGCAAATGGAAACTTGCTGCAAGATCATTATATTAGACATGACCACGCCATAAAACGTTAGTTAGCCAGTACTTTAAAACAACAAAAAAAATCCAGCTCGCGAAAGAGCTGGTTATGAAATTGCAGTTCTTGTTTGCAGTAGGCTTCGATTTTTAAAATTTTCGCTAATCCACATCGAAGTCAATGATCGGACTTCATAAAAAATGTGTGCGGAATCTGGAAAAAAATTTAGATTTCAAAAAAAATGTGGTAGATCTCAGGTTTTGGATCAATCCTGCAAGGTTTAACCTAAATTGCTAACATTTTAATTAGAATCTAAAACAAAATTAATTTTAGTATAATAAAGTGCAAGATTGAAGTTGCTAAAAATTGCGTTAAGTTTCGGCAATTTTTTTCCTTGACAGTTTCGAGTGCTGCCAGCTTTTCTTTTTATCACATCACGATGTAGCGAACAAATGTGGCTCGTTCCAGAAACAGCTACTTGGGATTTGCCGATTTTGACAATTCTCAAGAAAAAGTAAACAACGCTTTAGAAACTTTAGGTACACTGAAATTTGCTAATACTTATCATATATTTTACAATTTAACACAATAAAAGCACGTAAACGCTTTAGAGTAAGGGTGAGTAGGTTATGTGACATTTGATATTTGTGACTTTTAGTTTTCCCTCTCTAAGCCCAACTGGTTTTTTTTTGCATCAACTGTCACCATGACTTTTTTCTACCTTCCTCCATATAGTCGAAACACCGTGCGTCGTTGCTTTTAAAGCCGGCCCTGTCTATCGCTAATACTAACAGTGAATAGTCGCCACAAAGCCATTGCGCTGTTCATGATCATGGACTTGCAATAATCTGCACTCAAATGCACTCAATTAACGTACATACATACATACATATGTATGTACATATGTATGCACTTGAGAAATTAATTGTAGTAAATTGTAATTGTAAGTATAGAACACGTGATTTCCTCTCTGGAGAGGTGTATCCTGTACTCAGTGTGCTTATAAAGAAAATTCGTTATCAATATTTATTTAAATTAATTTTATACATTTTTTATTTTTCAATTAAACGCTTGCTATTTACATACATACATACATACATAGATAGATAGTTGTCCATCCGTAGCACAAAATGCACTTAAATGAAGCATAGAAATCTATTAAAAACCTGACATTATGTGAACATATGTACATACATATATACAAATGTATGTATGTATGTACATACATAAATATGCAAGCTGATAAGGCAGCATATTCCGAATCAAGTTCAGTACGCAATACCAATGACAATGTTTGATGACTTTATGATTATTAGATCTTTTTCTATCAGTAATTACTTTTTTCTACATTCCCGCGATTATTAGTTTTGAGAAGTGAGCATTTCTATGTAGTACTGATAAGAGCAATACAATTATTTGATTTAGTAGTAATTTTTTGACAGATACTTAATATTTTATCTTATCTACTGTGAAGTGTGTGTGCCTAGGGCATTCTAAATTATATTATGTATCTCAGTAATTTCAAGTTTCATTAGTAATCATTTAATCAACAGCCACCCGCGTAGCCGATGGGAAATGAGTAACGTACGTTTATTACGACTGCCCAGATGAGCTACAAATATTGAATTAAGGTTTCAGTTAAAGTTTGCTTGATTTGGAAAATTCGGACATAATTTGGTAGAATAATAGAATCTCTCCAGGCAATATTTCCATATTGTGATGTGGGCAGAAAAAAATGGATAAATAAAATGTTCATTTATTTTCTGTCGGTTAATGCTTCTTCATTAGGGATAGATAGATCGATAGTTAAAAGAGGCATGCACTGCGTCCTAACAGATTTATTGTGACATAATCTTACAGCCCCCAAAAAGTTTAGAAGACTTTTCGGAGGTAGGGAGTGTATGTGCTAGGAATGTTAATGACGGGAGTTTGCACCGATGGCAATAATATAAACTCCTTTTCTTGACCAGTATTGGCTATATTTATTTTTTTTATTTAATAATGAATACTTTTTCATAAATGTCTAGCTCATTATACATATAACACCGTGCGATAGTAAATTTTACACACAAAAATCAATATATTCGTGAAACCATGAGCCAAATATTGTAATATTGCGTTTTAGGGTTTTCACCTTGACGTAAGTAATTCCAAAATGATTTAAAAAATTTAGTGAAATGTGCTTAGGGAAGAAGTATGGTTATCAAGTTAAAGAAGAAATTCTGTAGAATTTAATCAGATCCAATTTTTTTGTGCATATGGACTGTTAAGTATTGAACATGTCCTTTTAAATTTTATTCCTTGGAATTTCGCAACACTTGTTTTTGAGAAAAGTATCAGCCCAATTCTGAATACTCCCCGGGTGTTTGTTCTCCAGGAATTTGTTTCTCCCGAGAAAGAAATCCTCAAATAATTAACTCCCAGGGAGTAGCATTCCCCCCCAAAAATTTGGGAGGAGGAAGTTCGAACTTCGAGAGCGGTGTTTGACACTCTTTTGACAGCTCAACTCCGCCATTTAATATAAAAAATCCTCGTGGGATTTTTATTCATGATAGGAGGAAAGGGAAAAGAGAAAAAACTCCCAGGGAGTTTCTGTTCAGAATCGGCGTGTATATGTTGAGGACTTATATAAACTCGATAACATCCTCGAATTTCGTTCTTCTATCTGTATCAGCTTAAAAAATTTCCTATTCGTCCTTGTGAATCCAAAAAATTTAAATTTTTTTAATTCTAAAGAAATTTCCTTTCCTTATTTACTTCTTTTTATTTGGTACCCATATTTTTATTCTACAATGCATTGAATTTATTAAATAATTTTT